TGTTTCTCATGGTTTGGTGAAAAACTATATGGAACTGAAAACTACATTAAACATAGTTCTAAAGAAAAGTATCACGGAAATTTCAAAAAATATTTTTATTAAATAAAAAGGAAAAATATTAAGAAAAGGGAAATTATCGTAGTGCATTCCTATACAACTGAAAAGAGGAGGAGAGGGAAGGGAGAAGGGCTGAAGGCATGAAACCGGTCTCTCCCCAGATGGCGTATTCGAGTGTTGCGATCGCGAATACACTCAAGAGCCAAAACATTATGACCACCTCCTAATAACGAGTTGGCTCACCTTTAGCCCGTAACACAGCTGCAACCCGCCTTGGCATGGATGCCACAAGTCCTTGGTAGATGTTCGGAGATAGATTGTACCAGATGTTTAAGTAACGGTCACGCAAATCCGAGATATTGCGACTTAGTGGTCTTTAAACTCTGAGCTGCCGTTCCATGACATCCCAAATGTGCTCTATCGGATTGAGATCCGGTGAGTTATGCGGCGAGGACATTAACTGGAATCCAGCATCATGTTCCTGGAACCACTCCACCACAATTTGAGCCTTGTTACACTGGGCGTTGTCCTGTTGGAAAATTCCATTTCCAGCTGGAAAAACAGAGAACGTGTGAGGGTACAACTGGTCCACAATGTTGTTCAGATAACCTGTAGCATTCATGGTCTACTCTACCACAACCAAGGGTCCCAGAAACGCCCAAGAGAACGTCCCCCAAAGCATAATACCGCCACCACCGGCCTGTGACCTACTGAACATTAAGGAAGCAACTGTTCGCCTGGAAGACGGCATATCCTGACAGGACCATCGGCATGATGAATGACAAACCGTGATTCATCTGACCAGGCAACTCTCTCCCTCTGATCCATGGACCAGCCGCGATGTTCCCGGGCCCAGAGCAGGCATAGTTGGCGATGACGCTTGGTCAGCAAAGGCACGCGAATGGGATGTTTGCTGCGTAGCCTCATATCCAACAGTGTCCGCTGAATAGTGTGCTCTGATACTATTCTTCTTGACCCTGCATTGTATTGGGCTGTCAGCTGAGCCATTGTCTGGCTCCGGTTTTGCTTCACCAAGCGCGACAATCTCCGACGACCTTTTTCTTTGATAGCGTGGGAACGTCCAACACCATGTCATCTACTGCTGGTTTCACTGTCATTCATCCACTTTGCATAAGTACTAACAACTGTAGATCGCGAACAACCCACGAGTCGTGCAGTTTCGGAAATACTTGTTCCGAGCCTTCGAGCCATTACAATCTGTCCTCTATCAAAATCGCTTAGATCCTCAGCCTTTCCCATCACACACAGAAGTAAGTGAAAGAATGATTCTTCAAACTCTCCAGCAACAGTTAAATACCACTTCCACCTGATCACGTGCCTTCCACGTCATCCAGGAGAGTTTATTGCAAAATATAGAGGTGGTCATAATGTTTTAGCTCTTGAGTGTATATAGCGGTCTTTATTTATATAATATGAACTATTCTAAAAACCTAAGCAAAGTGCATTAGCGAGCAAGTAATTTGAAATATGGTCAATAACAATGAAAAATTCATGCAAATACTTGATTTTGCCTTGTTCAGGTGTGGATATTTTAAATCTGAAATTAATTTTGCTCCTAAAGTTACATTTTTTTTAATTGATATTTTTGGTTTATTATTTATCGAAATGTGCAAGTTTAAAAACGTTATAAATAATAGAGATTCGTGTAAATGCTGAGACAAATTGTTTGGGAAATTATGGCACATCATCAAAATTAAAACTGCATGGGAACCCATAGCCGGAAAGGTCGTCGTATGCAGTTAAGAGTGCTTCCCTGTTATGATCTGTTCAGAAGCACGTAAAAAAAACAGTTCATAACAGAGAAGCACCCCTAGCAGAGCAACTGACGGCCATGAGTGTCAATGCAATATTAATCCTAATCCTAACTCCCCTAGAAATGTGTTATTTATAATGATATGGCCCCCTGCTATATATAACGTTTTTAAACTTCTATAATTCGACAAAAAATAGAAAATGTCATTAAAAATAATCGTGTCTTGGAGAAAGAAACCGATTGCAGACCTGAAATCAGAGAAACGAAAGTATCTAAAATCTGTTTAAAAAATCTCACGTAACAAGAAAAAAAAATTCTATCGTAATTATAGTGTGAAATAACTTACCAAGATCCAAATTTGTTGAGTAGGCAAGGAACATAAACATCAACCTCCACACCGAAAATCTTTTTTAGCTTGTAATAAGAAGCCTTGAGAACTGCACCTTCAGGAACTTCCTTTAAGACTTTTAACCATGTGGTAACATTCAGTTGAGACTGGAGATTAATTGGATCTGGACGCACTACGAATTCCGAAGCATCTACGTAAGCCGTCTGCAGTTTTGCTGCAAAAAAAAATATTACATGTATCTACAGGGTGTCTGAAAAGTTTGGAAAAGGTAAAATATCTCGAAAAGATCGAAATCATCAGATCTATAATCTATACACTAATGAAATAATTTGAAAATATGCATTAGCATTATCGAATTCGACGCCTTAACCTTATCTTGGCGAATAGAATAGAAACATCAAAATCTTAGATAAAAATCCCCATTTTTATTGCAAATGAAACAAGGCTATAATATTATAGTACATACACAATCTTCCTTTAAGAATTATCTGGGTTTTAGAACGCGGACAAATAACTTTAATTTAAAAGTTGTTGTTATTGCCATATGCCATTATGGCAAGGAGTGCGATTGTTCTTATTTTCCAGTGACGCCATCTATTGCCAAAAATTCGACTTTCGCTAAACCGTTTATAGGGCAGACCCATTCAGTCATCTGCCGATCGTAATTTTTGACCTGAATCAGAGAACGATCCAACTCCAATTCAATACCTCCAGAGATATTATTTGTTATAAACTATGGGGGACTTCATTATCCTACAGATTTAACGTGCACTAGTAGCCATTTACTACTGGGGGAGTCTTCGGACTGCTGGATTCGAACTCCCGTCTCACAAACGTAAATCCAGCTCTCTGCCAACCAAGTTATCCCGGCCGTTATAAAAGTTATTAAACGTTTTTAAAAATCGTCGATTTAGCGACATTTTCCCTCCTAGATGAAAATTATCAAAATCATATCCTCATTCTCAGTTTCTTATGGACTCAGATAAGGCAGCATTGTAGTAAGTTTTTAAATATTAAAAAATTAAACCACAAACATGTCTTTCACAAAATTGTGGCTTTTCACAATAGTGACGTTTTGCATCATTCTAAAACTGAGCATACAGAGCGTTGACTGTAGATAGATTAAACTTGACCGAACAGTTATGAGTAACTGTTGCAAACTCACAGCAGTTATAAAAAAAAAATTCCACAGAAAATAAAAACCGAAGGGTAAAACAATTTTTGTGAAGCGAATTATATTAAGTAACAATTATTGGCTAATTATATGAGCAAATTTTATTCCTTAAGTAACTGAATTTATTTTAATATGGTTCCTATTTTATTTTAGCATGGTTCTCTTTTATTGTGGTTACCCTTAAAATATACTTAATTTGCTTTGAAACATAATTATCCGATTTATAATTCTTACTTCAAAAGAAATATTTCATTTATAATTCAAATATTCCAACAGAAGGAATTAATAAAAATATTTGTTTTCTTCTAGAATATGAACTGTATGTCATACATTTTAGAAAATTTATAAACTTAAAAATCCATCTCGTAATGCTAGTTAAATTCATAGCGTTATAGTGAATTATTAAACGTTGTAGTTACCTTTCTTTTATCGGAACTAAATGATGTATAAAAATTAATACCAGGTAGATGAGGACAAAAAAGAAAAACTTACTACAATCTTCGAATCTAAAGAATTTGGCATGCACGGTTCCCCAAACCAGTAAAAATGCAACGGTAAATCCAAGAATCTTCTCCATTTTTCAACAGATATTTCGAAAAAGTGAAATGATTTACTATTTTTTGAACGAATGGTTGCTGAAAATAAATTTCTTGTGAGAACTTAAACACGTGACGTCTGAAAATTATCTTCATAAGTTTGCTCATTCAGTCGTTTGATACAAAAAAAGAGAGAGAGATTTGGGTGGTGTTTAAATTTGTTGATTTTATGTTTGGGTTATGTAAGAGTTATTATTATTTTTACTCAATATTAACTGTGAAAAAATTATAAAATTAAGGTGATTTTTTTTATCTGACTTTAAAATATTTTTAATGTGATTTAGTTTGAAAATATTTTTTCATTGTACTTAAAGTCAATCATTTTAAATCAGACTCTTAAAAACCATGTAACATGATTGAATTTAATGAAATTTATAACCAGCGTTGAAGAGTGGACCCAATTCTGAGTTTACAACTCCCAATTCTAGTAATTTCGAACCCGGCACTGGAAACAAAGAAACTCCTTGATCATGCATTGGAACAAACTAGCCTGAGTGCAGTTTTTTGGTGAAATGGTGAAAACTGATTTTCTTTTTTTTTCTGGTGCATGACGGCATGGTGAAAACTGATTTTCTAAAGAGTCAACAAAAACTTCAGATTTTTCTTCTGTAGAGTTCATAAAATTGTTGTTTGTTCATTATGATGAAGGTGGTAGTCACCGCCATTCTTATCATATAGTGGAAAAGTATCTTCATTATTGTTCTTTTTGGCCGTTTAAAATGGATGAAACAAAATGATAGTCTCCGGGAAAATAAATATAAATCGTTTAGTGAGAAATTTATTTATTAAGCAGAATTGATATGATGGATAATGGCCATTTTCAAGATCCATAAAAGAAGGAAAGCCCCTAAAGGGATCAAAGCAGAATACTCTCCCATCGAGAGTTCATACAGCCAGAATATCATTTTCTGACGGTAACAGTTGAGACTGGGGAGGCCCGAAAAGGGCACCCCTTGTCTCCACAAATTTGAAATTAAAAGTGAATACAGTTGTTCCTAACGGACACAGGAGAAGCATGGGTAGGAGATCAAAAATTGGCAATTTTTAAAAATATAACATAGCCAAAACAAAGCCAACCCCGCATATCAATATTGGGTTTAAAAAATGCCTTGGCGATCACGAGTCGCCAACAAATTTATGAGAATTATTACAACCATGCAACTGAAATATTTAGCGGTTAGAAATTTAGAATAAAAAGATTTTTGTTTTCGATTAGGCGCGACAGTGAATTAATAAGTCTGCATTAGTAATAAAGTAAAAAGTATCCGTTACATTGATTGATTAAAAAAAATATTTTATGTTCGTTTTGAAAGATTAAGTCTATTATTAGGCTTAATATTAAGCAAATTATAAGCTTACTATTAAGTCTGTTTGTTAAGCTTAAATAATAACAGATAGGATATAAATATGTAATGCCAATTGTGGCATCACATTCATCAGAGGAGTATCACAAAAACACAAACCGCATTTCTGAATGACATAGAAACTTAAAATTACGATAGGTTTTTGAATATTTTTATGGGCAGTAAAATGGAACTTGTACTACTATACATGGGTGATTCTTTTTAAACATGACAATTCGGACCAAAAAACTTCTTCAAATTTAAAGTCTTCAAAATAATCTAAATTTTTTTTTGTATGCTTCTTTAGTTACACTTATTAGTATCTTACAGACAGCAGTGTAGTTCATTGACATTTGCTCGAGAAGAAAAATAAAATAGAAATTCACCAAATTATAGATATTGAATGCCAGGAAAATGACATATTAGCTTAGAAGTTAAAAAAACAGTCATTTTAAGTTAATAGTGAGTAACTTAACTTAAACCTTTATGTTAGATGAATCATAAATTGCTTAAATTAATTCTTTTTGTCCACTGTAGAAAGAATCAAAAAAATTTTTGTTGCCGATATGTACAGAATAAAATTTTGTATAACAATCAATCATTAAATAAATAAATAACTTTGATTACATCCAAGCACATTACAATCATACATAAACTTGGTATTAGGTTAATATTTGCTTTCCCTCCTTACAGTATTAGCAGTTAAAAAGAATTTCTGGTAACACTTCAATGTCCTGGCATTCATAAGCAAGGAAAATGACAAATTCGCCATTTTATAGCATATAACTTTACTTTAATTTAATATTTTGGCCTAAGACGTTTATATTCTGCAGAAAACAACAGGGTTTCTTAAAATAACTCAGATAAATCTATATAGTTTATGTTGTTAATAATTTCAAGAAGCCAGGAAAATGACAACACAAAATTTTTTGAAATAGATTTTGAACCAGAAAATTGGTTCTTTATTCATGCAACAAGACATGCTCATATAGGAGGGTATCTAATCAATCTATTAACTTAAGATATTGATTGCTGGCTCTATCTATTTTGGTTATAAACCACTAAATAAAGTTAGCCAGGAAATTGACAGATTTTCTTGGGACAAGAAAATTATTAACGGAAAAAATGTTCTGTTGAGATAAAAAAAAATTAGATATTGAAAAAGTTTTGAAAAGTATGGGAAGTTTTGAAGCTAGTTATTATTGGAAACATTGTTTGGGACATACCAGGAAAATGACATTTTGATTTTCAATTAAGTTTTTTAACTATACAAAACTGTCAATGCTAGTGCAAAGTCATTTTAAAATGCTAACAGCAATGCTATTTAGTAATTTTTAAAAAAAGAAAGTTATTTTAGTATTATAGTATTAGATCTTGGAGGAAAGGACAGTGAATTGTCATGTTTCGAGAGAATCACCCATATACATATATGGCAACGTTACTTTTAAAAAGTAACGAGTAAAAGTACAAGTATTTTTAAAAAAAGTAACGAGTATAAAGTAAAAAGTTCTTATTTTAAAAAGTAACGAGTAAAAAGTACAAGTAAAAGTACAAGTACTAAACAAAAAAAGTAACG